CCGCGTCCGATCACTATTTTGAGGCATTTAGAATGACTTTCCAACAACTGCCAAGTTCGATATGACTTATATGTGTGTCCCCGCAGAAGCTCCGCCTCGCCACCGTATCACCCTTGTAGAACGGGACACAGTCCACGTCCCATAATCTTTTCTTGCCCCCTTTTTCATCTAGCCATACGGCAATCGATCTTTTTCTTTCTTTTCGTCAACCTTTTCATTCTTCAAATCGTTTTATCTTTACTATTAACAATCACCAAATTCTGTGTGTGTGTCCGGTGTTCCCTTATCACCTAGCCTAGAGAAGTCAATAATGGACCAAAAGTTCCCAAATTTTCACAGATAACCCGAAATAGCAGCGAGATGATGCCCGCATATTTTATTTTCCGAAACTTCGTTTCTGACGTCTTCTGGAGACGTTCTTCCATTTCTAGAGTGCAAATTTTGAGAAAAATATTGAAGAAATATTTACGCCATCCCCGTCTAACCGCGCAAATTTTTTTCTTATCCACGCTATTTCTGATAGTGAGAAAACGGTGTTTTTTCGAAGTATTATTTCAGTCTGGGGTTTGAAGATTTGAAAGAGAGAAGAAATTCTGAAACAGTGAGAAAAAAAGAGAATGCATGGCAAAATAAGAGTGGCTCTTCTGAATTACTCAAAATTTCAGGGTTTCAAACTTCGGATATATAAATTTCAGAGACTTCATTCACCAAATTTACAAAAAATTAGTATTTCCGTTTTTCTAACTTTTACGGTTTCCAAATTTCGAGTTTCTAAGTTTTCGAAGTTTAGAAATTTCTAATTCTTAAATCTAAATTTTTGAATTTCCGAAGTTCCAAAAACTTTTTGACGAGACTGTGTTTTTTTTTTGAAAAGTTGAACTTCTGAATTTCGAATTTTCACATGTTCTCAAATGCTTGAATTTCTGAACTCAGAGAGCCGTGGCCTAGAAACAAAAAAAAACCAAAACTCAAAAAAACACACTAATTTGATATTTTCCTTGCATAATTATGAGCATTATGAGCGGGAGATGTCCAGTCGTTTTGGAATTTCTCTATTTCTAGGTCTCTGAATTTCTATTTTTCCGAACAACTACCGATTTTTGAGGCAGAAGTTCCCAAATTTCTGATTAACAGAAATAAGAATTGAAAATTCAGAAATCCGGAAATCTTGAAGTTCGAGAATTGGGTACTTGGAAAGCAAGACTCTTGATAATTCAGAAATCAGTGAATTTGAAAATTTGAAAATTTGAAATATAGGAAATTTAGAAAATCTATATTGGGGTACTTCCGAGTTCGAACTTTCTCAATTTCTAAACTATCGAAATGCCATACATCGAGCAGAGCCATCATCGCGAGCAGAGCCGTCTTAGGTCGGCCCGGAATTTAGTAAGTATGAGAAATTCTGATTTTTTAAGTTCCTGAAAATTGGAAACACTAAATACAAAAATTTCAGACACACAGGTTTTCGGAAAGTTGAAACACTTTCTAGATTTCAGAGTTAAAACTTTCGTACTTCCGATTTTCAAAATTTACTAATCTCTGATTTTCCGAATGTCTTACTTTTCCAATTTCCGGACTAATTCCGAAATGTTTAACTTCGAAATTACCGAAATTCTGAATTTACTATCTCGAATTCCGGAAACACTGAAATTAAAAATTGTCTGATATAATTACGGGCAATGTAAGTGAGAGCCAGGATATGCAGCCCCGGAGGGACGCAATAACTGAAAATTTTCGAAATTCGGAACGGGTAACCAGGAACTTCAGTGATCCTGAATTTTAGATATCCAAGAAATTGAAATTTAAAAAAAACCAGGAATTCACATACTCCATATTATGACCTTAAGAAATTCCGTCTTCAGTAGTTTGGAAATTTTGAAAATTTGGAAAACCAAATATTAAAAAATTTTGATTACTTCGAAAATTCGGAAATTTGAAATATCGGAAATTCAATTGTAAGATACAGTAAGCGGAATCCAGGAGGTTGAGCCCCCGACAGGGGGCGTAAACCGACTGGTATTTTATTAGACGAAAACTCGAATCCATCAGAAAATGACCTGAAATTTGTTTTCCAAAATGTAAAAGTTTTATACGGTTATTTGAATATCAAACATACAAAACTGAAAAATGTTAAATTTTTGGGAGGCTTAGAACAGTTGGAATGTGATATGTTTTGGGAAAAAATAAACTCTGGAATTTATTTAATTTTGAAATTCCAGATGAAGGAACAAATCTGAATATGGAATATAATTCTGAAATGACAACTATTGGAATGACCAATTTCAGCAGTACGAATTGCGACATTTCCATTATTTTGAACGAAATACTTGAGAAAATGGAACTTAATAATTTGAAGGTTTCCATTTGATTTGGAAAAAAAACACCTTTTTAAAATGTTTTCAGAATTTCTACATTACGAATTCCAATAATTATTTTCTACCCGTAATCTCAATAAGGGATCATTCCTCGAATTTTTGTATCACATTGGAAGAGATGACTAATTTTCTGACCGGCGTTTTTTTAGAATTCGGAACTTTTCGTGAACAGTATTGTAAGATTAGTACTTCAACTAACGAAACTTTTGGAGAAAAAGTTTGTGAAGTTAGAAATTTCACATTATCTAATTTTGATGAATCTTGTAAACGATTAGTTGGAAATATAATAATCAAAGATGGAGATGAGCAATATGTGAACAAATTAGAGAACGTTACTTGGATTTTTGGAACTGTCAAAATTTATAGTACTGATTTGACGAGTATTGATTTTTTCGACAGCCTAGAATATGTGACTAATGGTCCAGATGGTTAGAAAGAATTACGAAAAAAACTTTAATTTTAAAACTTACCAGATCTTCTTGGAAATGAGACTGGAATCAAAGTTGTGAGTAATAGAAATTTAACGAATGCGGTTTTTCCTAATTTAAAGGTAAGAAAGTCCCAGAAAAATTTTCACAAATGTGCTTAACTGTTTGAAAGTCGGAGAAGTTTTCTGAAAAAATTTCCAATTCAATTTTTTCAAAAATTTTTTTGAGAAATCTAAACATTCCAGAAAGTCAGATATGGTTTTGTATTTCGAGAAAATCATAAAAAATTTGTGGTGGACCCGAGTGTATGTCTTGGTATCCCGAATGGCCTGAATATCACAGAGTATAGAAAGACAACAATTGATGGGAGAAATTGTGGTAATTAAAATCATATAACAGTTTTTATACCTTAACATTTTTATTTTCAGAGGATTTTTTGAATTACGCGTCAGCACGAGACAATGCTTCAGAATCAAGAAGATTTGAGTTTCAAGGAATCGACTGGGTTTTAATTTTGATAATTTTTTATTTTTGAAAAAAATTTTGCTGTGAAAAAAGTTAGTAATGTTATCGTTGACAATTATTACTATTTATATCATATTTTATTGATTGACCGATTGAAATTTTCTCCTCCTCTTTTGTAACTCTGAATCAAAAAAACATTTATTTCTGTACTCTAATGATTCATTATTTTGTATTAACCAAATTTGAAATTGCTTCATCTATTTCACTTCCTACAGTATTTTTTCAAGAATATTAATTTTGATTTTAACATCTTACATCAGAAAATATCAAGTTTTTATCACCTGGTTCTCAATTTATTTCCCTCCTGTTCTTAACTTCGACCAAACTTTTTACAAGGCTTAGCAAACTTAATAAACAAAAAAAACTTAAAAAACGAAATAAAAATGTTTCAATATCTCGTATTGAATCTTGTTATTGTTCAGTTTCCGCAGATTCCCAACTCGAGTTTTTCAAATCCAAATGTAATTTAAATTGCACATTTGAATATGACAATTTAGACTCTGAAAATTTTAAATCATTCCCGTCAAATTGCTCAACCGTTTGCGCTTATATTTTATTAGACGAAAACTCGAATTTATCTGATAATGATCTGAAATTCGTTTTTTAAAATGTAAAAGTTTTATACGGTTATTTGAATATCAAACATACAAAACTGAAAAATGTTAAATTTTTGGGAGGCTTAGAACAGTTGGAATGTGGTATGCTTTGGAAAAAAATAATTATTTTAATTTCGAAATTTCAGATGAAGGAACACATCTATGAATTGAGTGTAATTCTGATATGGCATTTATTGGAATGACCAATTTAAGCACTACGAATTGCGATATTTCTATTAGCCATAACGAAAATCTGGATAGATTCGATATTCCACATTTGAAGGACTCCACTTTTTTCGAAAAAAGTTTTAATATAATTTTTAAAAGAAATTTCTATATTACAAACTCCAATAATCGTATTCTACCCAAAATCACAACAACGGATTTTCCCCGAATTTTTGTGTCACAATAGAAGAAATGACTAATTTTCTGATCAGTGGATTTTTAGAATTTGTACTTTATGCGCCCTAAAATCACGTATGGTCTGAACATTACAGAATTTAGAGTTTCAAGAATTGATGGGAGAAGATGTGGTAATTAAAATTGTGAAAAATTTTCAGACCAAACTGTTTTTTTCGTTTCAGAGAGTTTTATAAGTTTCGCGCCAACTCTTTCAAAAATTTATTTAAACTTCAACTCAATTTTCACAAATATTAAAAGCTGGTCATAAAATTCAATTATTCGCAAATTCCGCCGCTTGAAATCCATCATAATATTTCCGAACTCGGGTAAAATTTAGTTGTTGCTCCGAGAAATGTGGATTTTTGAAGAATAAGTAGCCAGCCAGAAATAATAAAAAAGCCAGAGAACATAGAAGAAAACGTATCATGTTCTCAGGAAATATGAAAGTTGAAAGATGTACAGTTTTTATATTGAGCAAATATGCAAATTATTACGATTTCAAAAAACTGAGTGGGAGAAAGTTGACCTCATGAAATAGCCTTTGTTCTCCCCCATTGTTATCTTCCTCTTTAATACCGGTTGTCTCCTTTTCTGTGTCATATTGTTTATTCCTCTGTTGCCTGTTTATTCCTCTGTTGTGTCATATTGTTTATTCCTCTGTTGCCTGTCCTCACATGTCATGCCCTCTAAATTTTGTACCTACTTTTTATATAAACAATTAGGATTTCACAACCAGGCAATGCATTTTTATGTGTTTTCAGAATACTCCAATTTAAAGATTTCAATACAGTTACAGGGTGGCGTGCAACTACCCGGACGCAAAAAAGGGTATAACTTTATACATAAGTATCTCGGAAGCCCGAAAATTGATATTATAGCAATAAAATTTTACGTTTGATTTGAAGCTACAAAAATTTTTAGCGCGAATTCTCAAGTCTAGGTTTTGTTAAGATTGTCGAACGATTAAAGGCGTAATATGTCTTGTACGCGGTTGAGGTTTTATTGAGATGAAGCTGGTTTCATTAGTGATTCCGGTCTCATTACTGATTCCGGTCTCTTTACTGATTCCGGTCTCATTAGTGATTCCGGTCTCATTACTGATTCCGGTCACACTACTGATTCCTCTCTCAAATTCTCAACTCATATCAACAAAATCACATCATTAGCTCTTTGCTGTTCCAAACAACTTTTAAAGTCCTTTAGGTCTAAGTCTCCAGATTTCTACATTCATCTTTTCAAATGTTATGTTATCCCGATTATTGAGTATTGTTCTATAGTTCATTCCCCTCCACCTTCTTCTCGCCTTGCTCTAAAACTAGAATCTCCCTTAAGATTTTTCTCTAAGTGTATTTTCCAGCGTTGTAATATCTAGTACAGTTCCTATTCTGATCGTCTCTCTATCCTCAATATGTTCTCCATTCGACATCGTAGGCTAAAAGCTCAACTAATTCTTCTCTATAAATTCTTAAATGGCTCCGCCTACTTTCCTAACCTAAGTGCACATGTCAAATACTCCTCCTCCCCTCGTCGCCCTATGAACTTAATTAATGTTCAGCCCTACTCCTCTGACTATTTTTCTTCAATTGTTCCCCTGTGGAACGCCATCACTTCCCAAGTTACCCGATTTCTCCTACCTTCCGAGTTTGAATCCTTAATTTCTTCTAGTATTACTCGTTATTGATATATTTGCTCCCCTAATTTCTCTTCTTCTACCGGTTACATTTTTCCTGTGTCAAATATCTAAATTATCCCGTTTCCCCTCCCTTACTCAGATCGGCCTCGTGAGGGGCATTTTCTGAGTCTTTAATGTCTTGCCCTCTAATGTTTTTTTACACCTGATCAATAAACAAATTACAAATTACAATCACCTTTGACAAGCGATAACTCAGCTGAAAGTTGATCAAATAGTTTGAAACTTGGCTAGTTTACTGATAAATAATTTGAATTTTCACACTCTTAATTGACTCGAACTTTATGTTAGTACAACTTTGAGGCCTGGTGATCATGCGCCACCCTGTAAGCAATTTGTTTGAAAATAATCAAATCCACAGTAGTGTAATAAAAACAAAACTTGATGGAATTTCCAAGATACTCGAAGAAAAATTATTCTCATCAATTGATTTCACTACATCATCTGAAAACATTAAATTTTCAAAATTTTGCTTTTGAAAGAGGAAATTTTCGAAAAAAAGGAAAAAAACCCTAAAATCTAAAAATTAGTTCAAAACTCACCACAATATTTATCTCCGATTCTCGCTTCATACAGAATTGTTTCATTCAAAATGTCACGATGGGGAAGACAAATTTGCGGTTGATTTTTTAAATTTCGCATCAATTCATCATTTTTATCTTCAAACCTGATCCATTCTCTTTGATATGCTCGAACTCTCTGGAAAATTTCAAACAGTTGAAAAAAAAATGAAATTAAAAAAAAAAGCTCACCTTCAATTTAGGCAATTGAAAATTTGTTAGGTTAAAATTCGCAACAAGTCTGATGGCTGGTTTTTGTTCTGGAAAGATATCAGTCTCAAAAAGTTGAAAAAATTAATTCTCACTTCTCAAAGAAGCCACATATTCCAAATTTGGTAGTTCTATTGTTGTTAAATTAGTTTGATAAATTTCCAAAGTTCCAAAAAGATATTTTACACTTTGAATTTTATACAAAAAATCTTGATTCTTATTCGTTAAAGTAACATTTCCAAGCAGTGTCGTACAATTTGAATCTAGCTCTTGCATTGTAAAATTCTCTTTAAATTCACAGATTGTGTCCTGGCCGGGAGACGTTGGGAAATTGAAAACAGAGCAATAATTTATTGGTAAAGTGCTCATAAATAAGCTTGGCTCTTTTATAAAATTTTCCATTTCCATGTGGTCAATACAAAATTCTGAGGGCATATCGTAAATTTGCATATCGATGTATTGAACGATTGATTTATTTTGTGGATGGAAATTCTGAATTTTTAAGGAATCAAAACTGATTTTGAAGACCTAGAAAACTTACTCTCAGATTTGGAAGATTTAACCCAGTCATTTTGGGATTCTGGTAAACCATAAATTGACAAGCACATCTTGTAAGATGCAGCATTCCTATTTCAGTCATTTCAAAATTATTTTCGAAAATAAAACTATCTGATTTATCGCATTCAATTTCCTCAATGCCTCCCAAAAATGAACCAGTTGTGAAATTCGTTTGAGAAACTTTTAAGCTTCCAAAAATCTTTTTCACATGTTTAAACGAAAATATCAGAGAACCCTCTGGAAATGATGTGTTTTGATCAATGATAATATCTGCACAAATAGTTGTGCAATCCAGAAAAATTGGAATCAAGTCTTTTGCAAGTTTGTGAAACGGGGGATTTGGAAAAATGCATTTCGGGTCTGAAAAAACAATTTTTTTATAAAAAAACAAAATTCTGGAAAAGTTCACCACAATTCGCTTTAAAGTAATCGGAAGGTTTTTCAAAATTTTCGGATGTTTTTCCGATTAAATTTGAGCTGAAAAACAGGATGACGAGACAAAAATGAAATCCGGAAAACATTGGAAAACTATTTATGAGGTGTACAAAGGAGCAAAATCAAAAAGGCGATTTTGGCAGAAAAGTTTTTAATCAAATGTGTCAGAAATAATTATAACTCTGGTCCAAACTATTGTAATCTAATCAAGAATTGTAATCTTGTAATACAAAAAAAAAATTCAGGATTTTTGGATTTTTAGCATTTTTAAAATTTTCCAGGCTCTTCGAATTTCCGATTTTTTATAATTTTTGCATTTTTAAAATTTTAGAACTTCTATTATTTTGTCGATGTTTTCTATTACTTTTTCATTTTTCCATGTTTTTTTTCCAAATTTCCATTTTTGCTTTTTAGTTTACAGTAATGCAATTTCATTCAAGTTTAAAAAAATGCCATATTAATTCGTAAAAAAAAAAGAAAATATGAATATTATACTGATCCGAATGATCCCGAAATTTGAGCCCCCTGAATTTTGTTGATCTGAAATTTTTAAAAATTTGAAAAAAAATTGATTACAAAAATTTTTCACGACAAATTTTCCCATCAATTTCTGAGACGAATTGATTTTCGCCATTATAATTTGTGAGAGTTTTACAGAATTGATCTTGTTCTATCACAAAATCTGTCAATTTTTCATTATTCCCTTGAATCTGGAGCCATCTTTTTTGGTTCGTTTGGACTCTCTGAAAAGGTAATTTATTGTAATCTTCGAAATTCGAAAAAAAAAAACGGGAAACCTTCAAATTCGGAATCGAAATCTCTACTAGCTTCCGATTACCGACAATTTCTATTGCGTTGGAATCTGAAATTTAGTTTTAAAAAATATTACAGTAATCCCCCAAAACTCACTGTCCAAAGAAACAACATACTCTAAGCTATTCAAAACATGAAATTTCGTCATGTTTGTATTTTCGATTTTCAAATTTCCAAAAATCCATTTTACAGTATTCAAAGCATCAGATATCAACTGATTTTCCGAATTCACCACGATTGATCCTGACATAATTTCACATCGAAAATAAATATTGGAACTTTCGATTTCACACACATCAGCACAATATTTTCCGGGCTGTTTACAAAAATGTCCAGTGAAATTTTTCAGAAATAAATTCTCATTCATCATGAAATGCTGCATTTCTTGGAATGTTATACAAAAGTTTGAGGAGACATTTGAAATCGACATTTCAACTTGGGAAATATTTCCAGAGGAATGAGTAAAGTTCTGAAAATTATGAAATTTCAGATGAATACAGTACCGATCAATATGATAGCCAAGCTCCAGACTCCTAAAAATCGTCAAGATGGTTCAAAATCAGCTGAAAAAATGCTGTTTTTTTAAATAAAGTTTCAAGAACAGGCTCGTCGAGACAAAATGAAAAAAAAATGAATGGACAAGTCGAGCAAAAATGGGAGCTTTCGCAATCGGACCTTTTAAAACCGGATGTTTCACAACTGACCATTTCGCAACAAACTATTTCGAAACCAACTTTCTAACGGTTGCTGTACAAAACTTCCGGGTCTGAAATGTCCGGTTGCAAAACCTTTTCGAAATGTTACGAAGCCCTTAAAAACCATTACCTTCAGAAGTGGAAAGTTCAATTTTTCAAGCTTGGGGGCCAGCGAAACTTCAAAATCACAAACGCAACGAATTAAACTTTTCATCCCAATTTCTTTCATATTCTGATTGTTTTCAAATTTGAAGAACCCTCCGGAATCTGAGAAAAAACAACAAAGCTATTTTTCCTCAACAACTTTGAAAAAAATCACCACATTCTATAACAGCCAAGCTGGCCAGAAAACTTGCACTTTCAAAATTGGTGTTGACAAACTTCAGACTTCCGAATAGCTCTTTCAAATTTTGAAACATAGGAAGCAATTCGATTTCTGACAAGTTCGAATTATCATTAAATTCCAAATTTGCACAAATTCTACTACAATTCGATGGAAAATTTTTGATAGACTCTGAAGTTATGACTACTGTTTTAGCGAATACACATCCTTCATCTGCAATTGAATATTTCTAAAAAAAAGTGCAGATTTGTTCTGCATACCGCATTGAGAACCAAAAAATCCGTTCTCTGAAATTGCTAAATTCAAAGATAACAGAAAAATATAAAATTTCATTTTATAGAAAAAGAAGTATTTGAGCTAGAAAAGATTGTTCCGGAAGAAAAAAATTCAATCAGGTGAAACTTGATAATAGTGACGCATGTTTTATAATCAAAAATTCAAAAATCAATTATATTTTCAATCAGGAAAAAATCAACAGCTGTTTTAAAAAAACTACGGTACTTTCTTATAAAAAAATGAAACATCACATTTCAAATCAGAAACCAGCGAATTTCAAGACGTCTTAAAATCGGTCGTAACTTCCGGAAATTAGAACGTCTACCAGCTTCATGTTATTAGAAATGTCATAGCCGTCAACTTCGTCAATATGTATCTCGGTTCCCGTGAAAGATACAAAACTTGTTCACAATTAGTAAATCCACCAACAAGGTAATTATGAAAAATTAATTCACCCAGGCCCAGGCCCCCAGGCCCAGGCCCCCAGGCCCAGGCCCCCAGGCCCAGGCCCCCAGGCCCAGGCCCCCAGGCCCAGGCCCCCAGGCCCAGGCCCCCAGGCCCAGGCCCCCAGGCCCAGGCCCCCAGGCCCAGGCCCAGGCCCCAAAGCCCAGGCCCCCAGGCCCA